GAGTTCAGGTTCAGCTACTAAGAAAGTAATCAGTCACTCATGCATTCAGTGAGAGGACTCCCATCTCTGAGTGGAGCGGTTCTCTCTTTCATCTGACTGCTCAGGATTTGTGAACACACACTAAAATACCCAGTGCTGCTGGGTACAGAGGAGCTGTGAAAACTCCCTGTACTCCCCTGGTCAGTGATAGCAAGAGTTATTTTAGGTCCAAGTGGGACTAAGGTTCTTGATGTACACACACACGCACGCACGCATGCACGCACGCACGCACGCACGCACGCACGCACACACACACACACACACATTTAAAATGTATCCATTTTCTTCACTCACCACTTGATTCCAAAGACAAGAGTTTATCAAAACTGTTGCTAAAAGATTGCAGCAGAAAGTCTGACCAGTGACAGATGAGTAAAGAAAGTTATTATTTGGTAAATTCATCTTTATTGGCTGCCGCTGAAAGGAAAAGTCTGTGTGAGCGTGTCTGTCTGTTAGCAGAATATCACGACCCACTGGATGATTTTTGTTGAAACCTTCTGAAAATAATTATAGAATATACATCTATGGCTGATGAACCTTTGGATTCAGTCCGTTCCAAGATGGCCACCGTAGTCATTCATAACACATCAAACTCTGTGCATGTCAGCTGGTGATGTTGCGGAAGAAAATTAACATTTATTGTCGAGGTTTGACCAAGACGACTACAACTTTGTTGTTTCTCACCATCTCTTTTTAAAACTCTGGCATGAAAGGTGGCGGGCAGTGGTGGGCACCGCTAATCCAAAAATTAGCTCCGCAATTTCTTAAGCGCTTATGAAAATATTTAGGTCGGCAACTTCAAAAGCGCTCATGCCATAGAAAAACTAGCGGAAGCTAATTTTAAAGCGGAAGTTCAATTTGACACTTACTAGCTGGCAGCAATTCATGTACAATATATGCACAACACTGCCAACTAGTGGTGTATGAACTCTTTTACAACTTAATTTAAACCACTGATTGCTGGGGATGTGATTTCCTGAAACAGACCTTTAGCTCCTGGTGTAAAAATTAAAAAGTTGTTGAGAATTGCTAGTTTGGCTGCTTCTTTGTCTTTTTCTTTTGTTTGTTGTAGATTTTTCATTAAAGAAGGATCAATAAAGTAATTTTAAAACTGTTTATTGGAAAACTGAAGC